AAATGTATCAATGAAAGTTTACAGCTCTACCATTCACCATTACATCCCACTGTTAGCAGAAAAAAAACAGAGGAAATTCAAATTTGGTAGTTTTAATATTTGATAGATATTTATAATTCTGTTCTCATAATGGATGGTTTAGGGGATTATTTATAATGATACATAACAACTCAGATGTAATTTTAAGACCACTTTTTGTTCCCTATTTCTGAATTTTAATACTGGTACAGTGTAATTAATTTTCCAATGAATTTTCATTTATTGATTAATGAGTTCCTAGTTGAATTAATGCCGAGAGGATAACTGCTTCTTCTGCTCTACCCTCCTTCCTCTCAATTTCACCTTCATTTTTGGGGGATGAATTTTTGTTTTTCACATCCATTCAAAGTTAATCTTGAATATATAAAATATGACCAAAAAATCATGTTATTTCATTTCATCTTTTTAATTCAAGTCTGCAAATTAATTAAATCAGAATATATGCATATCATCAATATGCAATCATTGAAAATAAAACCAGTTTCCTCTCTTGCTCTTTTTTCACCTCCGAGTGTCACTTTGAATAACATACATCTACAGTTATTGTATGCCGTCTAGGATCTGTAAGGTTGTCCTACAAACATGCTTGATTTACAACTAGAAAAAAAAAACTCTCTCAATCAACAGATACATCACTGCTTTTTGATTGGCTTCTTCCGTCTTATGGTTTTAAATTTCCTTAGACTATTAACAATACGTTCTTTTACCATCGTGTCCCCAGAAATTCATTTCTCAATTTTTTGTTGAATTCTTTCATCTTTTTCACTTCCTACTTGAAACTTAATGAAATTTCAATTTTTTTATTTGCCTTTTTCCTTGTCTTTCTTAATTTTTCCCAAAATACTGATTAAGTTTTGCAGGAGTTGATTAGAATTTCTGACAGAGACAATGGACTCTCCATGTTGTGTACATACAGTGTACTTACTGCTCAATAATTCATATGCAGCAAATTATGAAAGAAAGACAATTGTAATAAAACACTGTCAATCCTTCAATGGAACATTGAATTTTTTATCTCCTCAACTGAAAACTCAAGTAATTCCCTTGGGAAAAGTTCTGAATTTGTTTTAAAATCACTCATAACTCTCTCTCTCTCTCTCTCTCTCTCTCTCTCAAGATTTTTAAGGGAGAACCCTCTTTATGCTAGAAAGTTTTTTTTTAATTGTGACAATTTTTAATCACTAAAAAGCACATAGAACCTTAAAATCCCTCCAAACTGCATATAACCTCTGGACCACTTCTGTCTGAACATGTATTTAGATTTGCCTGGGAATCAATCCAGTGCAACATTTGAAACATTTGAAATGACCAAAGATAAACTACTAAACATCGGCTTAGACTGACATGAAGTATATCTGGACTATATGTCTTTGACAATTATGTGTCTGCATGCAATAAATATCTGACAGTGAATGCCCTTTTTGTTTACATTAAGATTTTTTTTTTTCAGTCTCAATTGACAAACAGGAAAGAAAATGAAAAGCTTTCAGAAGAGATGACCACATTAATGGTATAACATCTACCAACTAAAAATCCTTAAAATCCTTATTCACTAACTGTCTCTTAGCAGGCTGTCTCCCCAGAACAGGGGGCTCCCTAGTAACATGGGTACAATAAAATTAGGCCATCACATGACTGGACAGCAAAACTTACATCCACCCCTTACAGAACCCATGGCATCTGTGTACATGCTCTCCACATAAAACACTTAGATCCCCCTCCCTGACAAGCCCTATCTTCTATGTATATACATGCTCCCCAAACATAACTTTGGACCCTCGTATAACTGTACACAATGATTATGTTATCACTATAGATTGATAACGAAGGACAGCGAGGGACGATTCTAATCACAACCAAATCAACGTTTCTGCCTCTCTTATCGCGTATCCCATAAAATTTTCATAATTTTTCCCCGTGATAAAAAAATAAGACAATCTCCGTGTGCTTAGCGTGTATCAAGGAAATTTCTTTCTAATATGCAAAGAGATTTTATTAATATGTCTGCCCCTACAGATATAGGCCTATATCCCTGATCACAGTTTACAAGATAGAAAGCTGGAATTTGCTGTTTAATAAAAAGGCTTAATATAAATGATATCATAACTAGCAATCTTCTATTATTAATTTTCTTTTTTTTCTCCTGAACTAAACCGATCGAGACGCCTTAGCAGATTTCACTATTAAAATTTTTTTTCTATAGGTCCCTGTTTAAATGAAAAGCAGGTATTAAAATCCGTCGTCCAAACTCTGTATAGGCCTTTTAATGAAAAACCTCATTCACCACTTGAACAACATTAATTTCATATGTGTATATAAAGCATAATACTGCAATCTACAAACATATTTGACATATACAGAAAAAAAAATTTATATTCATGAGCCCTTTACATTATAAGAGACTGCTGATTTTGTCGTCTCAGTCCGTCTTCAGTTTTGTATTCACCACCTATCCGTATTGACAGAAGAAAGTGCTATAATTTGTGGAGATATCAAACCGGTTTTCTATACTGCTGAGAATTTCTGTACCTGGGGTAGATTCCGAGCAGTAATCCACTCATTAGGTGTAAAGGGGGTATTATAGGGGGATATAATGCCATCCTATTGTGTTTACTGGGAACCTCAATCCTTAATATGGTGTAAATTAGGCACCCTGGACTTTTAACATCCCCAAAACATCTCACATCATTATATGCATTCCAAATATCTTAATGTTTTTAATAGAAAAGTGGATCCTTTCAGGAGTTTTACCATTGTGGAGAATGTAAGAGAAAGAGAGAGGGGAGAGAGAGAGAGATTGAATGAAATAATGAGACCTGTGAGAGAGAGAGAGAAATGAAAGCTGTTTTTGCTTTTCCTTGAAATAAATTTCTGGAATTCAAAATAACACAACTTGTATTTTTTATTAAAAAACTACATATTTCCTGTGGCCACCTGTTAATTTCTGACTCAGGAAAACCAAAAGAAATTAAAACTTCAATGAAATGTCAATGGACTCTTTTTCCCTTGTTACCAAACTTTCAAAAGATCTTATTGTTTTTAACTTCATACAATGAACAGCAGACTCCATGTTAAAACAAGCTCCCAAACCATTTTATCAAAAGAAGTGCAACCCAAATTAATGAAGGCTCAAAGATTTTTGTACCAAATTAAAAAGAGAAAAAAAACTCTAAAGTTGTTGCCTCTTGTAGAATTTTGAGATTATCTGAGTATGTATCTAGATAAGAGAGGGGGGATCTAAGGCTTACACAGATACACCAGGGGCCTCCAACAGAATCAGAGGATGTTTTCGTCACGCTTCAGTAACTTTGGCAAGAACCAGGCCTTCACTATCTGAGGTCTGTCTTCTGGCTCTTTTTGTTTTAATTTAATCCCAATTCAAAGGATGGGGAACATTACAGCTAAAATTGTGCTCTGGGAATGAAGTGAATTTTATATTTGACAATTAGCTTGATTAATCTAAGGAAAGGCCTCATCTGTTGGGTTATCTTTTCAACTCTTCTAAAGTTTTTCTTTTGATTTCAGATTCTTTTTAGAATGGATGGATTTTTCTGAGAGCTAATCATCTGCTTCAGTTTCACATTAATTACACAAGAAGCATTAACCATATGATTTAGCTTTTAGTAAGATCAACTATTAATTCCAAAAATTACTGCGCTCTCTCTCTCTCTCTCAGGTATTCTCTCTCTCTCTCTCTCTGAGATACCCAAAAATAACCATTGTTTCTGTGTGCTGTGTTTGTATGTGTGTGTGTGTTTGGGGGGGGGGGGGGGGGGCTCAGGTGCTTTTCAAATTGATTTTAAGAATATATACTTGTGCACCCCCCCTCTCTCTCTCTCTCTCTCTGCATGGGGTATTTTTTATGCAATGATAGCCCTATTGCATGACCACAAAATGAAATTAATTAGTGACTTGGCAATTTGATAATGAAGTCAGCTGACTACCCCTTGATCAATGATTTATCTATAGAATGGCTGCAGCAGATGTTGGGTTTTACAATCTATTATTAATTAAAACCAACCCAATATCCCCATCCCTGCCCGGTATAAGATGTCTCCCTGTAGACTAAAATATATATGTCTGCAGCTGGAGAAAAATTCCCATAAACATTGTAGGACAGAAATTAGTGAGGCCATCACCCCCACTCACCAACCCCCTCCCTTCAAAGAAATGCCCAGGGTAACACCATGTAGGCATGGTATCACAATACACAACGCCTCCATGCATGGGGGTAAATTTTCATCTTTTTTCAGAATGCTGGTTTAACATTTCCAAGTAATTTACACAAAAAGAGCAAAAGTAATGTGCTATAGCTATTTTCTCTGGTATAAAGTTGAATTTTAGTTAAATTTTGTTTAACAATTAACAAGTAACAAATATACATTATCAGGGGACTTTAAGTACAGTGTAACTGATTTTCATGCACCATAATTATTATTTTGACCTGTCTCACGTAACAGTCTGCTCTGGGTTCCTACACTGGGGAACCCTGGGGGCAGGTTCCTTTATCAGAAATATGGAAATGAAATGCATTCCTATACATAATACCAGACAGGCCAATGGTTTAATAAGACATTGTACAGTTATAATGTGACACAGTGAACTAAGTTATTGTTCCAGGTTATACAAAAGATCAGTCTAAGATTGGGGTTCGACTAAGACCATGTTTTAATCCACTTTTGATTTTTCTTACTGATTACGTTTTTTGTCATTTCCTGTTTTTGGGGTGTACCTTACAATGAATTTCTAAAATTCATAAGCCCTCCATTGTGTTTCAGATGCTGTAGACTACCGTCTGCTCGCAGGTTTAAACTTTTTTTTTAAAGAAAATCAATTGCTTCATTGTTCTTTCGATTTAAAAAAACATATAGTTCCCAAACATTTAAATAAAAGATTGGGAGAGAAGTTGTCACAGGGAAAATCCGCGCCCCTGGAAATGAAATAAAGTGAGATCCACCTACCTCCTCCTCGGGGTTGGTGTTGACGGAGTCCATAGATTGACTGAGAGCGATGGTGGTTTCTGTTTTCAAACTGGATGTTGCCATATCCATCTGTCTCATTTTATTTCCACAAAAAAAATATAAAGTTTTAAATTCAGCCTCCAACGAGATTTGAACGATTCAACACCCTGTATATAAAGTCTTCCACTTGACACACAGGTGCGCGCTGTCAATATAGGTGTATAAAGTCCCAAATATAAATAAATAAAGAAAATATTTAACTTCGATGTTTAGGATAAACACTCACAAACTGCTATCAACACATCGCTATATAATATGGATGGAATGCATATCGAAGTCCGTTGTATGAAATAATAAAACGTTTCTGCGTGTAGAATATCACAAATTCGTGCAGCGGCTAAAACTCACGTGGAGCAGTGCTTCAGTTATCAGTGCGATAGTACAGTGCTACTAAACAGAGGGGGGTGCCCAGGCCGTGAACAAACGGGGGGAGATAAAATAGCGTCCGTCAGAAACGTCCACAAAAACTCTACTGGGTCCTCATGTTTCTGTAATTTTCACCTGGTATAAAAACATGGCACCTTTCAGTTTTTCCCTTTCGCTGTGAATATTTTGTTATTCAAATGTGCGCTCATAGCATTGTGACGTCACGGGATTTGATACGCGATCATTCAATGAGAATAAAGGAGGTGAGTTAAACTCCGCCCACTGTTTGCTAATTCCACGTGTTTTTGTTATTTTCCACAGCACAAGAAAATTGATTAGGCTTGTTCAATGACTTTTTATTATTGTCGATTTCGTTGAAATTTTTCAGATTAGCTGTTTAAATCCACTAGACCTGATCGCAATATTTTAAACAAATACGTTTATTAAATAACGGTTCGCTCTGCGAGCTTTTTTTTAATCCTCCCATGTAAGTAATTCTTTTCAGACACAAAGGGATTAGTCGGTCGGAACGGGTGCGAAAGAAAGAGTTGTCAAACAAAAGAAAAAAAGTTTAGAAAGGGGTGATACAAAGTTTACTTCGCTCTAACAAACGATTACACAGATCTGCATTCAGATTTGACAAGTACAGAGCGAGTGCGCGCTTAATCGACAGAGTATTATTTAACTGTTTTAATACGTCCTCACGACCACAACTAGTAGAACTTAGTCACCTCTAATCGATCTTTTTTTTTTTAAATTTTAATCGCATTAGAAAACAATTAAACTATTTTTTTATTTGTAAAATTACCGAATAATTGAAAGTGGACCAGAGATCTGATAAACGAATTTATTTTTCATTTGAACATATAAGTTAAATCAAACAAATAAATATATTTCTCATTTATGAAATCAGCCCTACAAATTATGAATTTTTTTCCCAGCAGTTAAAGGAGGGCATCACACTTCTTATGGAATTCGAACTCATTAAGAAGAATCTGTTCATTTATTGTATATTTTATGTATTCATTTCATATATATGTATATATATATATATATATATATATATATATATATATATATATATATATATATATATATATATATATATATATATATATATATATATATATATATATATATATACAAGAATATTGTTAACACTTTTCATTTCCATTGTTAAATTCAACAAAGGGTAATACCATTGACTTATCATTATCACCTTTTAGTCATCAAATTTAAAATCAGCATTACAGGGGAAAAGGAGGAAAATCCATAATAAATGCATAGGAATAATACAGTCTTTATGTGTTTAATGAAGCACTTTGAAGTGTCTGCAATATTGTTATCAAATTATTTGATCAGACGAGAGACTTCATTAATAATGCCAGATTTGTCATATATTTGGTATAATTTACCGTTTTAATGCATGTTAAGCCTTATTAAATCAGGGCGGTTATTCATTTGACAGAAACTTTTTTTTCTAAAGTTTTAATTCAGCATGTTGGCTAAAGTTTTAACCATACGTGAAAAGTGAAATCTCATTTGCACCTGAAGTTTTGATGAACATTGCAACTTGATGCATGAAAATGGACAGTTACACAAAAATATTTGTCTATTCTATGTGTGTGTCATGTGATTGGGAGTGTTTTTATATGAATTTTCAGAAATATTCATCATCATCATCTCTCTCTCTCTCTTTCTCTCTCTCTCTCTCGTTTCGTGTCTATTAAAATTGACTCCGGATTTAATTACATCTACAAGAATCCACACATTAAAAATTCATGATCCGCCGACCAACCTCGCCAGACGAAGTGGCAAAAAGCTAATTCAATCTGTCCCCGCGGACCACTTAATTAGGGAAACTGGTCCCTCCACGCCACATAACAGATGTACGTTGTCCATTTAAAGGCGATTCAAGGTTTTTATATCCCGATAATTGCATTTTATCACGTGGTGTTATTTTGTTACCTGTTATGAAATTGATTAACGCTTGATTGAAAAATTGTTTTAGCACGATACAAAGATTAAAAAAAATCTGTTGAATTATTCTGTGTGTGATGCCCTTAAGGCAGTTGTGATTTTATACATTGAAATGTCTGAGAAATCGTGAAAATATACACTCATGGAGGTATCTTTACTACAGTGCCCGACATTAGATAAAAGATAGCGTTTCTTTAAGTTCAAGATCACTTTTTTCCTTTTATTTTAATCTAAATAAGAATAAATGCGAAAGGAGGGGTGTGAGAATTCCTGTTTAACAATGTCCTTCCTAGTATACTTTATGAACAGCGTGACCGTTCCCTGATAGCTCAGTAGAATTGGTACTTTTTTCTCGTCCCTGGTAGTTTCAGTAGAATCGATTCATTTTCCTGCCCCTGGTAGTTTCAGTAGAATCGATTCATTTTCCTGCCCCTGGTAGTTCAGTAGAATTGGTTCTTTTCTGCGATCCCTGGTAGTTCATTACAATGGGCTTTTTTCCAGTCCCTGGTAGTTCAGTATAAAATTGGCTCTTTTGTACGGTCCCTGGTAGTTCACTAGAATTCAATTGGTTCTTTTTCTCGTCCCTTGTAGTTTCAGTAGAATTTGTTATTTTTTCCGGTGCCTGGTCTTTCAGTAAAAACATTGGCTCTTTTTCCAACGACTTCTTGTTATTCTGAATTATTTAAACACTTGAAGCATCTCTGCATACTTTCTTTAACAGAGCGTTTTTTTTTTAAAGCCAGAGAAGATGGTCATATTTAAATACATGTATAGATATCCCATATCATACCTATGACAGATATCTATTTGAAGTGAATATATTGATCTAAAGTAATTAATTAAATTATATTAACAGATTTAAAAGATGTTCTTTATCTCTATAGATTTAAGGAGACTGGTGACCAGCTGATGAGCGGCTATTTTAGAATAAATAAAACTAAAATAAATTACCCACAACATGAAGTATGATTTTTCTAGCTATATAAACTATATTTTTTAGAAGGAAAAAAGTTCCATCGATATTTAATGACATTATTTATTTATTTGTTTATTATTTTTTTTAATTATTGTTTATTGTTTTTTTTATTTTATTTTTTTATAGTTCTTGGTGAACTAGTTCCAATCAGACGGATAAGAAATTTTCATTTATTTTAATGTGAATTCATTCATAATTTTTCACCTCTGTAATTTCCAGGGGTCTGTGTTTATGCCCTCCTGTTTGTAGTTTTTATGATGAGGTCGATCACTGTTCGTTATCTTCAGCCTTTTTCATTCATGGAATCATTCACAATTTACGAGTGAAAAATTAATAAACGAAAAAATTAAGGCGTGTGACTTTTATGCAAACATTACCTTGGATTACATTAATAAGAGACCTTCTTCGTCTTACGTTTTGTTTAACGTTTCCACCTACATTCAAACACACACATGTGTTTTCATTTATGACGTCATAAGTTTTCATATGAATTTTTTGGCGGGGGTATCTTGTTTTTAGAATGGTGGTTTGGATTCTTTAAAGGGGTCATAAAAGAGCTAAAGTTAACTTTTTAATCAATATTCTATTTTCCATGTGCATATTGTTAATAAAAAAGAAATTTAAAAAAAGAAAACAATACTTTGGAGATTCAAAGCTAAGCAAGAGTTAAACAGCATGAATGTACCAAATAGATCGACTCCAAATTTCCGGATTTACAGGAAATTTCGTACAACATTATCGCAGGCAAAATAAAGCCACTGGCGGATTTAGATGGCGACCCAGCCCCCCTCCTTTTGTGTCCAAAATATACATAAGATTAAATAAATCAAATTTTTTTGGTGTTGCCGTGGGCCCCTACCTTGACCACAAATTGCCCCCCCCCCTTTTTCAAGATTCCTGCATCCGCCACTAAAAGCATTCTTCCTTACTCACAGTTAGACATGCATGCAAATTATTCAATCACGTGTATTTAATAATGTGTTTTACTAATAAAAAAAATTAATAAAATACAATGTACTTGAAAATAACACAATTGAAAAATAAGTAACAATATAGACACTTGAAAATAACATTTAAGTTAAAAAGAGTTAAGAAAGAATAACTTAAGAATTAAGTATTAAAAATGAAAAAGAAACAAACGAATAACCACGGAAGCTTAGTCCGCTGAAGACCTCAATCAAGCAAATCCCACGTGAGCCGAACTTTCCCGCCGCGGTGTGCCAAATTAAGAGGTTTATTGGGTGCTACCACAATTATCCTATTTGGTAGAAATAAATTTTCTTTTCCTCTGAATTATTCAGGATTTCGTACAATACAAGCGGCCAGTCCCGGGGCCTATAATTACAGCCTCTCTCGGCTGTTGATTCCACACCTTGTAAAGGTGACTGAAAAAAAAACCCCTGGTGTTGGTAATTAGAGTTACCACCAAGTCCGCGCTATACTTACATTGAACTTTGAACTTTAGAAATGATGCATAGTAATAACTGTACATAAAAGGAAAATCAACATTATGTACCACATGCATTTTTTTTAAATTTGGCGCAGAAAATATCAGTGCATTTATTATGTAATCAGTATTTTTAAGTAATCAAGTAAATACCATTGCTTACATTGTCAGTTGCGAAACAACGCTAGCAACCTCAATGCACATTTAAAAACTCATTTTTATCAGATGTTCAATTATGTCAAAAATGTGGATTTTATACAGAGGATACTGAACATTACTTTATCAAATGTCCGTCATATATTGTTGAAAGAAATTTACTGGTAAAAAAAAAAAAATGATATTGATGTTGCTTTTGATTATTTAATTTATTGAGTAATAAAGTAAATATCATTGCATTCATCAAGTAAATATCATTGCATTTGTTAAGTAAGCAAATTTAATCTATATTTGTTACTTTATTTACTGAAGAGAGAAAACTTTCAGCTTTTGAATGCAGCAAACAACAAAGAAATCTCATCTGAGACAATGTCTGTCTGTCTGTTAGTCTGTCTGTCTGTCTCGGCTTGTCCTGACTTTTGACGTTTCTGGAACCTTTGACTGGCCTCACACTTTTACATATTGTTACCAGAAGCCTTTTCCGGGTATGTGGTTTACTCTCAGTTTTCTTTTTTAATCAGAGACTGGCCATGTACCGCCAAGTAAAACCACGGATCCGCTACGTGGATTCTGAATACTTGCCTTGTCCTGTATCGGTGACATGTTATGCTAGTACTTAATCGATTAAGAAACAGAATGTCTGGGGGTCTTTAATAC